GAAAGTGTTAACTGGGAATAAAAGGGGGTCAGGGTGAACCCAAAGAGGTGGGGCAGTCTTGCAATGGCACAGCGAGCTGATGAATGAGCGGGTTCAACTTTTGTTGAACCATTACTTAGGGAAAAGGAAGAGATTTTGTGAAGAAGGAAAATGAGACATAGTTTTCCCTGGAAGAGATCCATTAGTGCCTATCTGTCTGCCTCCAGAGGACACATGATACTAGTTAATGCTTTGCAACCAAAGGACAAAACTGAAAGCAAAGGCACTGAAGAGTTTTCCTTCCCTTCCTTGTCTAAGAGATAAATGCATTCGTGGCAACTGATGAGTGAAATGTTCGCCTGCTAATGCATGGCAGAAATCCGTTACAGCTTCTCAGCAGGGAAAGAAAAGGGCTCTGGATGGGAAGAGGCAAGAATTCCTCGGCCTGAAGGCTGTCTCTATGAAATCTGGTGCTTCACAGGAGCCATGACTGGCTGCCCGTGCTGGAACTCATGTGTCAGTCTCTGCATCTATAAACCTGCAGTCCTGGCAGCAGGCCTTGCTTAGCTGCCCAGAAATTCAGTGCTGCCTTGCCCAGTGGACACAGTAAGAATGTGTTTGGGGTGTTAGCAAAGCACCGCAGCAACAATGCTTGCTTCAAATAACTGACTCTTTAATATTTAATAATGAGGAAAGGAAATTTTGCTGAATTTCTTTATGTTTATTTTATGATATGCTAATTTATTCTTTGGTTTGGGATTATTTACTGCAGAAAGGTGGATGTGGAGGAGTCAGCATTATAAACATGTTAGTTTTTAGGGCTTTTAGAGTCTAGAGGTCTTGGACCATTCCTTGGGAATCATAGATTACTAAACAGGTAGAGTCTGCCAGCTCCTCCAACAATAGGTGGGTCACTTCCCCCACCCTAATGCCAGCAGGTAGAATCACATCAAAATTATTTTCATACAGAACCAGAGAACATAAATTCCACAAGAACAGGGATTCTTGTGTGCTCTGGGCTGTGCTGTATACAGGCGCCTGGCACTGTGCCTGGGACACAATAGCTTTTTGGAAAACCATGCATGGGTAGAAGCGTGATTCCATTTTTCTCTTCCCTTTTTCCATGTTGACCATCTCCCCATCACTTCCATAAGATTCCCCCGGTGTATTGGAAAGAGTTGTTCTTTTGCATTTGAGTCACGCCCAGAGTTGCTCAGAACTTCATCCTGGCTCTCTGCTCAAAGATCACTCCTGGTGGTGTGTAAAGCACTGTGTGTGGCATGAGGGATCGAATCAGGGTGGGCCACATGCAATGCAAGAGTCTACAACCCAGTACTATGTCTCTGGCTTATGGATAATACAATATGGACAATACAAATTTGTCCTTGTCAAACTTGCCTGATGATCACAAATAAGCTAGGTGCTATTTTACACATGAACATACATATTACTGGGCCTCTGGCTGGGAAATTCTGGTTCAAAAGGTCTGGTAGGAGCCAGGATCTGTGTTTTTAACAAGCAGTAGTGATGGATTTTTTTGGTTGATGATGATGTTGTTATGGTGCTGTTGATCACATCAACAGTGCTGTAGTGCTGGTGACGACAACTGGTGCTGTGGTGTGGTTCTAAGGGTCACACCCTGAGGCTCACACATGCAAAGCATGTGCTCTACCATTGAGTCACATCCCTGGATCCAGATGAGTCTTGTTTCAGAAAACTTTTGAGTTAAATCATTGGCGCTCAACCAAATAAAGGATGTTTGGAGGATCCTCCCAGGAGGGAAGATGCATGTTGAAAGTAGACTATGGACTGAACATGTTTGCCACTCAAAGCCTCTTTTGCGGACCACAACACCCAAAAGGAGAGAGAGAACACAAGGGATCGCCCTGCCACAGAGGCAGGGTGGGATGGGAGGGATGGGGGTGGGAGGGATATTATCCATGGTGGTGGAAAATGGGCACTGGTGGAGGGATGGGTATTTGATCATTGTATAATCTAAACCCAAGCACAAAAAAATTGTAAAAAAAGAAAAAAAATAAACTCACTTTTATAAGCTTTTAAAAAAAATCATTGGCGCTCAGCTCTTTCCCACATTATAATTGAGTAGCATGGTTACTTCACCTGTATTCTGATGGGTCATTAGACGTTAAGTCCTGAGCTTCTGGTGAGAGTAATCTTACTATGCACACCAGTCTTTGGTGACAAAAGTCACTTGTCCATTTAATGACAGTAGTCTTCTTGTGTATCATCATGTCACTGAGAGGCAAACCCTAAATCCTGTCTCTTGCTTTCCTGAAGGGATGGACCTGGAAGAGGAAGGCTCAGAATTCCCTTGCTTTGGGGAACAGTAACTGACCTTCTTGCTTATCACCTGGGAAGCTTTCTGTTCTGTCCCTCCTAGCTGTCATGAGTATGTGAATTCACTGCTATGTCTTTTGTGTTTTGGAGCGATAGCACAGCGGTAGGGCATTTGCCTTGCACTCAGCCAGCCCGGTCGAGCCAGGTTCGATTCCTCTGCCTCTCTCGGAGAACCTGGCAAGCTACCGAGAGTATCTCACCCACACGGCAAAGCCTGGCAAGCTACCCGTGATGTATACAATATGCCAAACACAGTAACAACAAATCTCAAAAATGGAAACGTTACTGGGCCCGCTTGAGCAAATCGATGAACAACGGGAGGACAGTGTTTGTGTCTTTTGTGTTTGGTAACAAGTGACATGGGTCCTTTTGGGCTGGACTTGAACCCCATTCATGGAGAGACTAACTTTAAAGTCACCCTTGGTCACAGAACCAGAGCATCCTCTGACAGTGCCTAAATAAGGTGTCTGTCTTCATTGTCTTCGCTACTTACACCTGAGAAGGAAAAGTTCGGATCCAAACGTGGCCTACCTCACTTCATTTGAGACCAGGAAGGCTGTAGTCACATTCAGTGACTCCTCCTAAGTTTTCTTGTCCTCCGAACTCAGTGACTCCTGATTGGCTCACCAAGTGCTTATATAGGTTTCCAAGGAAAGAATTACCATTTGAGATGAACTCAAGAATGCAAAATTGCCACCAGAACTCTTCAGAAAAATGGCTATCTTCCTCATCCAGATCTCTAATCCTTGGGATTCGAATCCTTCCTGGGGATTAAATACCAAGAGAGAATGAATCTAGATGAAATGAAGAAAACTGCTTTGTAAGGAAGGCAAGAAAACAGAATAGACTATTGGAAGTCTTGGTTTTCCTATATATTTTTAATATTATTATATTTTTAATAGTCACTATATAGAGACTATTAAAAATAAAATAATTGTAAGCACTTAATAATAACCGTGTGACTAGCGGTTACTCCATCACTGAGAGAGTGTTCAGCATCACAGAGATTTCTATGGGTCTGCACCGTTCCAGACGCAGGATGCCGGCCCGTTGGCCCTGCCTGTGTGATGCTTCCTCAGCATCTCTGCAACAGTGTCTTTGTTTCTATTGGTGCTGCTTGTGGTTATTATGCATTGTTCTAGAAAAAGCACGACTAAACACTGCACTGGAGAACAAAACCCAAGGCAAAAAATAGCTGCTTTAAATGCAGTAATTGGGGGAGGGGTATTAATTATCAAAAGAGTGCATTTTCCTCTGTTTTCTCTCTTCTACTCCCCTTCTACAAAAGAATCTCCCTCCTCTTTCATCCGCCTTTCTGCTTCTGCTGGTGAGTATCTCGTTCTATGTGAGGCTTCTCAGACAAAGTGTAACGGTAGACAGGCCCTCGAAAGAGAAGGGTCAGAGAAATGCCAAAGGCCTCCTTGCAGCAGAGGAATAGACAATTGGGCAGCATGCCCCAAATCACACGGAGGGGAGAGGCAGGGAGGGGAAAGGGGTGAGGGCAGGGTGGGCTGAGGGGGAAGCAGACAGTTTTCTGGCTCCTGAGGCTGGCAGGCTGCCTGGGTGCTCTGGTGGACCTCGGTGCAGAAATCTGCTTCGGAGCAGCTCAGTCCATAAAATCTCTCTCTGGTCTTCCTTGCTCAGGCCTTTCTAGGCTGTGGTGTGTGTGTGTGTGTGTGTGTGTGTGTGTGTGTGTGTGTGTGTACATAGATAGAGGGGCTTCAATGTAGCCTTGGAGGGGAATGAGGCGCCCTTCCCTGATCTCTTGGGTGAATTTCCAGGACCCTCCCCCCTTCCCCTCCAGCACCGCCATGGTTTCTGTGGTTTCTCTCCCTCCATACCCGTCACCTCTGTAAGGGTATTGTAGTGCCTGTATTCTCCCCGGTTTTGTTTTGTTTTGTTTTGTTTTGTTGCTTTTTGGGTCACACCTGGCAACGCACAGGGGTTACTCCTGGCTCTGCACTCAGGAATTACTCCTGGCAGTGCTAGGGGTCCATATGGGATGCTGGGAATCGAACCCAGGTCGGCCGCGTGCAAGACAAACGCCCTACCCGCTGTGCTATCGCTCCAGCCCCTGTATTCTCCACTGGATGAGACAGGAAGAAGGGGTGAAGCTTTCAAAGACGGAAAGCAATGAAACTGACAGTGGAGGGCTGGATATAGTCAAACAGTGGGGGCTGGGGTTCGAGGCCACAGGTGACAGACAGCAGCGCAGGGGCAGACCACACTCCTGGAGTACAGAGTTATGACTCAGAGCTCGTGTGACCAGGGGACTAGAGTTCTGCAATCTTCTGGACTTGTTGCGACTTTTCTCTGCTTTCTTGGAAGACAGCCCCCCTCCCCATCCCTACGCCACCCCGAAACATGACTAGCCATGGGGTTGTCCAGGTCAGTAAGTATTGGTGCCAGGGGATGCCAAGCGAAGGTGTTGAGTAGGCCACAGGCAGATGGTGGTTCTCCAGCCCCTCCTCCAACGCTGGTCCCTTGGCTGGAAGGCAGAGGTTGGCACTGGCTGCATTGTCAACTGTAAACCTGTCTCCAACTCTGGGCAAGTTCCTCTGGGAGTAACAGGCTGCTCTGCCCCCACGCCCATCCCACCCTTGGCTCATCAGATACACTTGCAAGCTGTTGACACAATGCTTCTTTCCCTCTTGCTCCTACAGCCGTCTCCAACCTGGATGTGGAGAGCAAGCTGAGTGTGTACTACCGCGCGCCATGGCACCAGCAGAGAAACATCTTCCTCCCGGCCACCAGGCCCCCCTGCGTGGAGGAACTGCACCGCCATGCCCGCCAGAGCCTGCAAGCCCTGCGCAGAGGTGACTGACCAGGGGGTGCTTTCCTGGGAGAGAGACACGGAGCTTGTCCCATGTGGGGTTTCTGTCGCATCATAAGCAATGCTTCCCCTTATTAGAGCAAGTGCTTGTAGTGTACTGTTGGCTATGCCACAATGAAGCTCAGGGCTCATAGGATCTGCCCATATCCATGGAAATCCCAACAGCACTGTGAGAACTTGGAAGGCAGCTCATGGAGGCTCAAGTTTGATTCCCGGGACCTCACGACCCCTAAGCACTACTGAACCACAGCAGCCTTGCAACCCTCGGTGTGGGCATTGACACTTCAGGCCTGATTGCTCAAGTACCCTTGGGAGTGACCACTGGATGCCTTAAGCATTGTTTGGGAGGCCCCTCCTGAAAACACAGATTTTTTAAAAAAAAATAGCGTGATATTCCAACGTAAGATAGTAAAGGGAATGTTTCTTTGCAGTGCTAGGCATGGAACCCAGGGCTTCACACATGCAAGGCATATATGCTCTACCACTGAACCACATTATAATATTTACAGTATTCAAATGTGCAGACATAAATGCAGCTCATGAAGCTCTTAGATGTTTGCACCCATTGATCTAGAACCACAGCCCTTTCCTTGTAATCCATAAACACTTGATGACATCGAGACAATCAGATGTCAGAACACAGGGAAGTGAAAGTCCAATGACAGGAGGACATGGCCTTAAAACTCACTCCATTTATGTCTGTTGGCCAACAGCCAGAAACCCAACCATCAAAGGGAAGTAGTTTGACTCATAAGTAATTTCTAGGCTCCTCTCTTACAAGCAATTCTGCTGGAATATTTGCTCAATATGTTTCACTACTAATTGTTCATGACTGTCCTGTGCATATCAGGATGATGGTCATTCTTCCCTCCACCATTATCTTACAACCAGGACCTGCTTATATAGGACCCTTTTCTCCTACTGAAAGCCCATGATCTGGCTTCAAGGTTGCTCATGAAGACCATGATGAGTCAGGAAACTTGCTCTGATGGCAGGGCAGGTATCATGCCAAGACTGCAGGCCTCTGAATTTCCAGGCTGGGTTCTTTTCCTCCCCACTATACTATATTTGGTTAGGGAACCAAATATCTATTGGTTCTGAGAACTTTGGAGGTAACACATGAAGTGCAGGTAGGAGAGAGACTTACACTGATTACTCTCCCATGCCTTCAATCCACTCAAACTAGGACAAGATTAAGAACTGGCACATCCTTTTGGAATCCCTCATAGGTGTCAGAAGTTGGCATGCCAGCACTATTGCCCTTTCTATATTTGCTATGGAGACAGATGTCTATACATTAAATGTATAGAATTCCAAATTCAGTTCCAAATTCTGTGTGCTCTTCAGGGGTATGGTATTCCCCAAGAGTATTAAAATTCAAATAAATGCTTTAATTTTTTTTTTTTTTTTTTTGCTTTTTGGATCACACGCAGCGATGCTCAGGGGTTACTTCTGGCTCTGTACTCGGGAATTACTCCTGGCAGTGCTTGGGGGACTATATGGGATGCCGGGGATTGAACCCTCATCGACCATGTGCAAGGAAAATGCCCTAGCCACTGTACTATCACTCCAGTTCCAAATAAATGCTTTAATGTCATTATCAATATGATGGAGAAATTAAATAACCAAGGTTGTTTTCCATTTATCTTCTTCAATGCAAAGGTAAAAATTTCCTCTCCCCCTTTTAATGAAAGAGTGACCCTAATACTCTTCTGAAGTTGTTTATAAATCAGCTTCTCTTGGTTATTAGTAGAATATACTGTGACATTTATAATTTAGAGGATGGCTAGCAGTCTGGAAGTAATTCTTGCATTTTTACTATTCACTCCAATCTTAAAGTTGGCTAAAACATTCTTCTGTAACAAATTTTTAGTGCAAGTCACATTTCCAGAAGTATTTCTTAACACTTCTGCCATTTATTTACAGCCCAGATTAGGTGTCCTTCACTTAGGATCCCACTGGGCCACTTATTACCCTAGATCATAACTAATCCTGTATGGGCTGGACTTACACCCTTAATCCATGAGAAACTCAAGAACAGGGATGTCACTGTCATGTCACTGTCACTGTCCTCCTGTTGTTCCTCGATTTGCTCGAGCGGGCCCAGTAACATTGTGAGACTTGTTACTGTGTTTGGCATATCGAATATGTCACAGGTAGCTTGCCAGGCTTTGCCGTGCGGGTAAGATACTCTCGGGAACTTGCTGGGCTCTCTGAGAGGGACGGAGGAATCGAACTCGGGTTGGCCATGTTGGCTGCATGCAAGGCAGATAAATGCCCTACCCGCTGTGCTATCGCTCCAGCCCTGGATCTCCTATTAATTTTTTGAAAACTTAAATCAAGTAGCATGAGCTCAAAATAGAGTAGGTTCACAATTCAGTTGTAGAACTGAATCAAGTTCTGCAGAAAATTGGTTGAAGATTGGCAGTTCAGATGACTCCAGAGTAATCTGACCATTCTCAATGCTTTCTCTGATCCCAAGCATGTTCCAGCTGATCTATGTAATGACATAGCTTGAGGAACGTTAGCCCTTTAGACATAATCATTTTTACCCTTTTATTATTATTATTAATAAGTCAGCCCTGATTAGATTTTTTTTCCAGATTAGCCAGATAACAGTAAGCTGTTCCTGAATGATCACATTTCACTGCGTTTTCAGGTTAGGACTTAATAACAGAACCGAAGAACAGAAAGTGCCAATATCAATTTTCTCATAACTTCCTCCTGGGGCTGAAGGAAGATTCTGGGGCCTCCTGGGGTTTGGAAGGAAGACCAGGGAGCCATGTCTTGCCCTCCTCAGACTGGCTTGCTTTGTGGTTGTCTCAATAGCAAATCTTGGGCATAGTAGTTTTAATAGCACTGCAGAGAACCATAAACAGGAATTATAGGCATCATAGAATTAAAAACATGCAGTGTGGAATTAAAATTAGAAAGTGGCTTTTTTTTAAAACCTTGTCCAAGAAACCCAGTAGCTTAACAGTACATTCATCAGAATACCACTTCTGCCACCTGGTGGCCATGAGTAAAATTGATCCATCAGTCCTGGCTTAGCAAATGCCTTGGTGAGCTTTCTGGTCATTCCTCTGTTTAGACAGCTGGAACATGCTGGCTTCTGCCAAGAAGGAGTGCACAGTGAAGCACAGACAAGGGAGGCTGCGGTGGTAGCAGTGTTGTCCTCCTGTTGGTGCTGGGGTCGCAAGGAGGCAACTGGGAAAATTGAGTTCAAAGCCAAGAAATTGGCTGTCTTCGAGGTCTGCTTAATAGTCACCCTCTCAATAAAGCCTCTTGAGGACCAGATGTTGTGCTAAATCTGGAATTCAGGGAAGCAATAAAATATGGTCCTGCCCCACAAGGAACCCCTGGTCTAGTGAAGGAGACCGGCAGGTAGCAGGTAATTTCAGCGGTGAACGGGGAACTCTGCAGAAAGACACTGATTATGCCATAAAGCTTCGATGGTGCCCCAAAGGAAACGGTGCCTTAATGGATTTCGGGTGATTTAGAATCCTATCCCTCTTTTTCCTCCCTTTCTCTGAGCAATTCTTTAATGCCCAGAGCCAGTAATGTCTTTAAGTTACACCATCACTTATGTTTGTAAGACAGGGAGAGAGATTACTATGTGGAAAAAAAGAGATTTTTATATTTCCTTTCCTTTGCAGTTCCAGGGCTGAGGTCTAAGTTCTTTCAGTCTAAGTGAATGAGACAGTTACTGTCGTTTTTAGGCTCTAGTAGACAAATGTTTTCCCTTTCCTCCCACAAGAAAAAAAAAAAAGGATTAGGGAGCCATTACTTTCCTTGCCTGCTCCCAGCTGAGGGCATATGGAGAGAGAGGTTCTAAAAAAGTGTAAGAAGGCAGCAATGGAATTGAAAATTAAATTGATGTCTCCCTCTGGATTCTTTCTTTCCTTTCACCCCTCCCTAACCACCAGCATTCGCATTCTACTCTGTTATGAATTTAAGGATGCAAAACTTTTTTCTGCACTGTACATTTGGAAAAGTCCACTTACTGCTTGCAAAGAGAATGGGAGGTGGCTGTGGAGGCAGGCACGTCAACAAGGAAGATACTTGTCTCCAAAAGTCTTCCTGGGGGCTGTAGCGATAGCACAGTGGGTAGGGCGTTTGCCTTGCACGTGGTCGACCAGGGTTCGATACCCAACATCCCATATGGTCCCCCAAACACTGCCAGTAGTAATTCCTGAGTGCAGAGCAAGGAGTAACCCCTGTGCAACACCAGGTGTGATCCCCCCAAAAAAGGTCTTCCTGAAAACCACTGACCGTGGAGGCAGTTTGTGGATTACCGGCATGATGATGAGTATGCTTGTCTGGCTGTGACTAGGAGGCATTACTGGCATCCCATCACAAATCTGGTACTTCATGCAGGTGATGCACAGAACAGACCAAGCAGACATGGAAAGAAAGCAGAAAGCTTGAAAATATGCAGGTAACTAGGTCATTCTGCAGCCCACTGATGAAAAGAGGAAAGGTGCCAACATTAGCCAAGCCAATGGGAAATAAGCAACAGGTTTTGTGGGTCACAGGCTCTCTAAACTGATGCAGTGCAGATAAGTAAAATAAGTAAAAAGCCATCTCTACAGTGTAAATACTTCTGCCTTGGTGGTGTAGTTCAAACTACCAACAGTTTTAAAGCAGACTGTCAAGACAAGGAGATAATGCAGCAGGTAAAGTGCTTGCCTTCTCTGCAGCTGTCCGCATTCAACCCCCGTCACCACATATAGTCCCCCGAGCCCTGCCAGGAGTGACTCGAGCACAAAGCAAGAAGTCAGCCAGGAGCACCGCCACGTGTGGCCCTAAAACAAAACAAAACACCGGAATGACGGTGCCCACCTCCATATTAATCCAGTGAAAGTTTAGTTGAGAACCATTCTGAAGATTTGACCTGCTGTGCCAGTGAGCCAGAGTAGCCCAAACCCACCTCTCACCCCACCACCCCCAGCCCTTTCCTCCCTCCTAACGGGAGAAGGAAAATTAAAGATGCCAAGCATGTTTCTGCATGACTGCTTTTCCTTCCACCAGAACATCGGAGCCGCAGTGATCGCCGGGAGCAGAGAGCTGCTGCCCCCCTTTCTGTGGCAGCCCCTCCACTGCCCGCCTACCCCCCAACTCACAGTCAGAGGAGGCGTGAAGTTAAAGACCGGCACTTCTTAACGGTGAGTCTGGGGTCGGCCTGCCACCCTAACCTTGCTTGTGGAGAAGCTTGATTGGGTCCTTGGGGTAGTTTCCCTCCACTACTGCAGTGAAGGAGTCTGGGTCCAGATCATAAACATTTGGAAGAACTGGATGGTTTTCGCTTTTGTTTCTGAAAGGAATGACTCTTTTATTCTTTTCTAGAATAGGATGGAGATGAATTTTTTTTTTACTTCACTGGTCACACAATGCCATAAAATATTTAAGGACTTGAAATGAAGGGAAAGATGGCTGCAAGTGCTTATTCTTCTGCATCCAAGCTGGAAGGCGGAGAGCAGATTGCTTGCCTTCTTTGCCCTCGGTTCACTGGTCTGTGATGTGGGTATTAACACCTAGTCTAGAAGTTAAGGGGTAAATGAGATGAGGCACAGAGAGAGAGAGAGAGAGAGAGCGAGAGAGAGAGAGAGAGCAAGCTGAGCACAGAGCCTGGCTCAAGGAAGTGTACAATGCCACCACTGCGACACTTATTACTAGAATACTCAGAGTGGAGTGACTCATTGCGGGCTGGAGGATGAGAGGGAGTGCAGGCAGGGAGAGAAATGTAAATGATGTGGAAAATGACCATTTAAAGCTGACTCATCTAATGCTCCCCATTCTATATGAGAGGATAGTTCTGCAGGCTAACTAATTTGGTTTTGGTTTTAGACCACACCTGGCAGTGCTCTGGGCTTACTCCTGGCTCTGCGCTCAGGGATCATTCCTGGCAGAGCTCAGGGGACCATATGGGGTGCTCAGGTTGGAACATGCAAGGCAAGCGTCTTACCTATTATATTGTTTCTCTGACCCTGCAGGGTAACTAATTATCAGTGGTGTGATTTCAGTCCTGCCTGGGTGGGTGAGGCAGAAACTTAGCTCAAGTCCCCAAATGCAGATCAAAGATAATGAAACTGTATTCCACTCGGAACCCCTGCAGTCACCTTCACTCCCAGTGTGCCCTGTGGAGACAAGAGAGCCTCTGCATAGGGCATCACGGAAGTGAGGGGCTCTGGTTTCTGGCCAAATCTGCCCTCATGGCTCAACCCCTGAAGTCTCGCCATTCTGATTTGCAGCCCACTGTCTAAAAGTCACAGCAATGTGGGTACAAGTTGTGGTTTTCATTTGAATGAAATTTGTATGTATGACTAATAAACCCCTGTGCCCTGATGGCTTTTACAATATGCAAAAGAGATTCAAAATATTTGGTCATGTGATAGCAAGCACCCATCAGAGAAGAGCCTTCATCTAAGTGAATTTGCATCCTGGAATATATTCCAACAAAACAACCAAGGATACTGGATAAGTTGTAGACATTTTTCATACTTGTGGCTAGACAATAGGTTTCATGTCCTTCTCACTCCTGAAGTGTCTACCAAGTGGTGCGCTATACTCAGTATATCACTGCCCTAGAGCCAAGGAATGAGAAAGAAAGGTAAGAGCCTCTTAGAGCCATCAAGGTCTTTATAAAGAACAGTTTTGCTTGCTGATGATTTGTTATAAGAGCCCCACTTGAAAATAGTTCTTATTAAGCTCAAATCTGCTTGCTGAAGCATTTGCTTTTAATGAGGCATTTTCTGCATAAAAATGCTAAAAATATTTCCCCCTTCATTATAACATGTTTTGTGGCTCATTAAGTTGGTTTTCTTGGAGGTGGGGTAGGAGAGAAGAATGTTGAGCTTTTACAGAAATGACATAAAAATATTACCCATTGTCATTATCTGCATAATTGTTAATAATGTCTAAATACCAAAGTAAGACTATTGGAAAGGGTTTTAAACTGAACGTAGAAATGAGAGCAATTAATTTACCCATTACACATCAGCAAGAGTAGAGTTCAGATCATACGTACGTACGTTTTGGAAAGTTTACACATCTCAAATGATAATACTTAGCATTTCTAAGTAATCTGGAGAAATTTTCATTTGTTTAACAGTATTTGGGTCACCAAGCTCCTTGGAAGACTTTCCATTCAATTTACATTCCTCAGACCTGGAGCCTACTCAGAAGAAAATGTGTTTCTCCACATTCAGCTTACAAGGACTGTATATTGATACAAGAGAAAAAGCTATAGGTACAGGAAAAGGAACTCTGTAGCCAAATTGCTGAATAGACATTTTCTTAGAAAGCAATTCTCTTTCTTTCACTTATTAGATTTTAGTTACGCCATTATTTTCTTTCTTTACAAAAGCATTAATAATGAGATTCTTATATACAATCTTCCACAGCTCTGCAAAGTATTAGACCATATTCTGGTTTTTCATAGCACAGACGGAGAAGCAGAACTTCCTGGATTTGCATAGCAGCCCTGGACAAATAAATAATTTCAATTGTCTTAAATAATAGCAGAGAGTAACTCATAGGTTTGGGACAAGGATTGAAGGCATTAATACATGTAAATTGTACCTAATGCATAAGTAAGCACACAGTTAGATTAGACGGCCTCATCTTTATCATCATGATCTTTAGCATTAGACGATTAAGTTCCTGAGAGATCAGTGATGAGATCATGGGCATAATCAGGTTTAAATCCAAACTCCATAACTTTTGATTATGTTAAAAAATATATGGGACCCGTGGTGATGGATGACGGGCACTGGTGGAGGGATGGGCACTTGATCATTGTATAACTGAAACCCAAGCACAAAATTTGTAAGTCTCTAACTGTACCTCATGGTGTTTCACTAATAAAAAAAGAAAGAAAAAAGAATTTAAAAAAGTTTAAAAAAAGATTAAAAAAACAAAAAAAAATTCAAAAATTCAAAAATTAATTTTTTAATTCTTCCTTATCTTTAAAATGAGGATAACTTTAGTTTCACAAGGTTGCTAAGAAGGCATAATACAATGTTATATAAATATTGTTAAAGGAGATATATGTGAGAGTAAGGATAAAGAGAAGAGGTTGTGATTAACTTCTTAGTCTACACTGTAACATAGCATCTTAACTGTTTTTTTAATTCAACAGAGAAAATACATCTTTAGATATAAAGAGGTGTTTGGACTTAGTTAGGAGCCAAGTGTTACAAGTTTACACTGAAAATTTCTGTTCCCCCAGGCCATATGAAAAATAAATTGCCTGGGATCAACTCCATCTACATGGCTAAACTCTTGGCTACAGATAAACTTGTTAAGTGGCAGGATACTGATTATTCAGGCTAAAGCAAGGAGAAAAAAGGACTCCATAGTGGGGTGTGTTTGTGTATTAAATTTTTTTTTAAAAGTTACTGTAACTCATTGTTTTAGGGTAGAATTCCTGGTGAATTTTCCTTCCTTGTATAGGCTGTGGTCAAATTGAGAATGGCAAATTCATACCAAAAAAGGAGCTTTTGCCAGAGCTAGTCAGGTAGTCTATTACAAAAAAAAATCAATCTGTATTTTTACTCTTGGTGTCAACCATCAAGAGCTGCCCTGTGAACTTTGTGGGTATGAAATAGTGTTTTTATTATATTTATTATTACAGATTGTTCTATTTATAGTATTTATGGATATAAGACTGTTTATTTGAGGCAAGTTAGTATATTTTTGGTGAGTCGATCTAACTATAAAGATACTTTGAAGTAGCTGGTTGCCATCTTCCCATAATTCCTCAAAAATTATATAGCAGGTTAGATGCTTGCCTTGCATGAGGCCAACCTCGGTTCAATCCTGATACCCCATATGTCCCAGGAGCCCCACCAAGAGTGAGCCCTGAGTCCGGAGCCAGGAGTAAACCCTGAGTACTTCCAGATGTGGCCTAAAAACAAACATAAAATTATAGGACACTAGGAAAGGAAAAATAAAACTATGCAAAAATATATCATCCGTGTAAATTGAGAACAGAGCATATCTAAGCACAAAATTAACTCAGGGGGGAAAAGCCACCAAATTTTGACATGTTACCTCGTGCTGTAAGGGGAGGAAGGATAGATTCTGAAAGACTGCATAAAAGAGGAGACATTAGGTGATGGAGCCTAAAGTTGATTTAAAACTGTTACCAGAAAAACTAAGTCTGTCCTAAATGGAAGTACTTTTAAAATGGTTTCGATAGACACAAACTACAGGAAAAGGACTTATTAAAAGTATTTTTGATCTTCAGTGCCAGCATATACATTTCAGAAGCAACGAAAGGCAAAAAAAGAAGGGACTTTGCCTATTGGCAATTCAAAGTTGTATTAGTCTACTCCAGCTGCCATAACAGGATATTGTAGACTGGACAGCGGAAGCAACAGAAATTGACTTTCTCACACTGGACTTGCCATTTAAGTTCCTGAGCTGTGGATGGCTTCCTTTCACTGTGCACTCACGTGACTTTAGAAAATTAGGGCTCTACTATTTAATTAACCTTTATAATTTTTAAAGACCCTATGTATAAAGACAGTCATTTGGGGGGTTAAGTTTTCTATATGTATATGTAATTTTTATATGTAATTTTTAGGGAGATGTAATTGAGTATATAGTAATGTTAAATGAGAAACAAAGAAAAGGGGGCAAATTTTAGAGCCCTACAAAACAGAAGAAAATCAAAAGTTTGTAGGACACAATCCCTGCCTCACTATCAAAATATTAAAATAGCTAAACACGGTATCGTGATAGAAGATGGTACCATCTTCAATTCATAAACAGAATAAAACATACAAATGCCACACAATGAGTAAGAGATAGAAGATTCACAGAGTGATTGCAGAAAACAGTTAGAAAATGTATGATACAAAGATTTTATATCCAACCACACTGTTTTTTCAACTAAAAAGGCTACAGAACTGCAGTTTAAATATCCCAAAACTGTGGCAATTTGTATTCATTTTTTTAAATCAGGAATTCACTAAGGACAATCTCCCTGGTAAGAATTCTAACCTTAGTCATCCAGAGGATGACTAAGAAAATGTTGGAAAATGTCATTTTCATGCATGTAAATTTAGATCTAAAATTAAAGTTACAATGGAGATGAGGACAGAAAGCTAATGTACAGATTTTAAATGTGACAACAGAAAATGATGCAACTAAAAGCTGG